GTACTGCAGCCCTTTTGCCATTTTTTCAAAACAAAAATGTTAGATCCTCTCATTCCTTGGGAAATTTTGAACTTAAATAAAAACAACCATGCAGAATGGGGATTCCGGGTTCCAGTCAACTGTAGTCTATACCCTTATTCTCTGTTGAGTGAATAACTGAACAGCAGTTTAGGCCTATTCCACTTTCCACTGGTACCATGCATCAAGTGTCTGAAAAAGGAATGGTTAGCTCTCTGTAGTATGACCCTAGCTTTACTTTTTCTGTGTGGCAATCTGCAATGGAATATATACAATTTAAAGCTAGCAGCTGCTGCTGATATGGGGTCCAGAACATGGCAGCATGGCTCCTGCATGAAGAACTGTTCTGCTAGTAGGGACGTGAAGTGGAATGTTAGAGCAGTATGGAGGTAGGAGCCATCCACCTGGACAGCTCCTACCTCCCCAAATCTCATGGGTGCTTCTACATAGAGCCTGGAAATACACAGGGTTCTAAGGTCTCTCCTCTTCTCCCTGTGGTTTCCCCATGTCCCAACCCCTGAAAGAGTGATTACTAGAAATCCCAAGAGTTTTTCTGCCAGTTTCCCCTTCCTTGGCTTTCTCTATCGTAGCAATCTAGTTTTGTGTTTCACTGTGTATCATCATTCCTATTTGTGATGATATTACTGCTCTGAGGTCTGAAAGAGGGAGGTCCATTCCCTGTCCTTTGTTCTCTGCAGGAGAGCATGCGTTGTTATGCAGTGTGTGCTGCAAAGTGCCTTATGGTAAACTTTCTAACACAAACATGTTAATGGATGTGACAGAAATAAATGTTTAAAATGAAGACAGCAGGAAAAAACTAGAGTTGGAAGGGAATGGAGAAAATCATGTCCATCCTCCATGCCATTTTGCTCCTCTGGGAAGAGAATAAAAAACCTCTCTGCATTCCCTGAAATCTTTCAAGGGAAGGCTGAACGTGCACCCCATCTAAGAAGAGCTGTGAATGTTGTTCAAATACAAAGCCTCTTTAGAAGCAGCAGCTTCATTTAATGTTTCCCACAGTTTAGTTTAGTTTACATAGTCAGGGAACAGCATCAGAATCTGTAATGACTCCTCTTTACAAAAGACATTTAGTCCAGACCTCCTTTTTGTAAAATCCTGTAAGCTGGCTTAGTCCTGGGCCCTTGACCTGTGCTCAGGCCTGTAAGTAAAGGTCCAGCGGCTCCTTTCAAATGATTGGACCTAAGGGCAGGGCAGGCAGCAATGCAAACACAGTCCCTCAGTCAATGAGGCCCCAGGCCCTGGTTCAGGGCAGGACAGCAAAAACAAATGTAGTCCCAAAGTTAGTACGGCCCAGGCCCCACTTGAGGGCGGGGGTGTCAAACAAACGCAGTTCCCCCAGCACGAGTGGGAAATGGGGAGACTGCCACCGGTATATGGGGGTAGCCGGAGGGATGCAAGCCCTCCCTACTCCACCCTGTCCTGGCCCAGGGCCCTAGCTGCCACTGGGGTCAGCGGGGATCCAGCCTGCGACACGCTGACACATACTACAATGTCATGTGATCAGCCTGACAGGTGTTGGCTTCCTCTGGGCCGCTTCCTAATTCCCTCTCTGCATCTACCTGGCTCCACGCCGGCTGCTGGTCCGCGGGGTTGTGGCAGTCTGAACCCTTGGGCAGGGTGTAGAAGGTCTGCTCTTTGGAGCAAGGGCCCAGCAGTCCGGACCAGTCCTCAGCCTTTGCCGCGGGGTTGTGGCAGTCTGAACCCTTGGGCAGGGTGTAGAAGGTCTGCTCTTTGGAGCAAGGGCCCAGCAGTCCGGACCAGTCCTCAGCCTTTGTAAGGTCCTCTGGGCCCTCCTGGCTTGGGGGCTCAGGGTAGGCCTCTGCCTCCTCCATTGGCTGGGGCCCTACTGATCTCCTGGGCTGGGCTTTTATGCTCCCTGCCCCATCCCTTGGCTTCTGTAGAGTAAAAGGGGCAGGACCCAGCTAGTCCCACCTGAGCTCGGAGGGGGTTCTTCCCCGTGGGGTCAGTGAGCGGCCACCCCTGCTTACTACAAATCCACTGCCCCACGAGGAAAGGGCTTTAGCTTTTGCAAATTTCACCCCCCTCATCCCATCTACCATAATGAAATGATTCAGTTTCTTTCTTTAGTCTGACATAAATGCCATGTCAGTATTCAGAAGAACAAAGCATTTACTCTGTGTCTTGGACAATCTGTCAGGGTTATTTTAGAATATACCAAGACCCATTGAAAATATTTTACCCATAATTTACTGCTGGGGAAAAAAGGAGAGTAAATATATATAATCTGCCACTGAGTGACTCTGATGGGATGGCATTTCCCCCCAGACCTTTTTCTTTTCTTTCAATCTGAGCATGTTCTACTGCAGGATATTAGCCAACCATGATTGAGGGAACGTGTCTCATGATAACATGCAAAATGTTTGCAAAAAATATGATTAGCAGCTATTTTTCTTCTCTTGTGGGGAACCCTTTTGCAACATACCATATTGGTAGGAGGCTGCTTATTGTATATCAGAGCAAAGTGGAGGTCACAGCCAAAATAAAGCCAGTTAACACTGAATGAGTGAGCTTTATTCTTAGAAATCAGGAATTGGCTAGGTTTTTCCAGCTGCTGCTATTTCAGAGTAATCTTAATGAAATTCCCTTTTTAGTTTACTATTTGATATATTTCAAGAGAACAGCTGAATTATATCACAGGTATTTCCTCCACACCTTCACTCCTCTTGCTGCATGCATTTATTTTGGTGTAACGCAGGTGATGAGGGTTACGCTATATTCATAACATATACATTTCTAGGAAGGCCATAGCACAGTTTGCTGATGATGGTTCTGTGGATTATGTATTCTCCTGAGACCTAAATGGCTAGAATGCATTCCGTTGCTCTTCCCCCTGTCATTGCATGTTTTGCTTTTATGGACGCATGAGTAAATGTAAGGCTTGTTATTGATTTCTGTGCTGATGTTAATAATTTCCATGTAAGTCTGCTTTGGCGTGACAGTTACTGATGTACAGAATTTGACATCTTAATTATTCTTTGATGGGAAGGGGGTGCACTAAACTGATAAAAGAGCCTTTTATCTCTGGATCTGTGGGTTCAAAGATGGCTTAGGTTGAAGTGAAATGAGAGAGGTTGTGTCTAATCCTTGTGGACATCTGTTTACATCTCAAAGCCATCACATAGTCTTGACTATGTCAGGAAGCAGATGTACCAAGAGAGATTGTTCTTTTGGCATCTCTGACCCAGCTGAAACCAAAAAGTAGTGAACATCTCAAGAGAGATGTAATTTATGAGCTTTACAGCCTTATTTCTAGAATAAAGGTATTCCGGTGTTCATCCAAACAGAGTTGTGGAGTCAAACTGGGATTCATTAAAAGCCTGGTCAGAGTTCTAGGGAGATGGCCTACTTGTTCTTAACGTTGGTGTGGCCTCTCAGGGTATAACCAATGATGAATTGGAGTGTGTCTCAAGGACTCATACGAGCCTCTTCTTAAGCAAGCTAGCTGCTGAGTCCCATGAAGAAAACAAAGATTCGCCATTTCTAACAGTGGAAAATAGGAGGGTGTTATATTAGTCTTTTCCCCCGTCATCATTTTCCTGGCATATTTCAGATCTTGTAATTATATCACCCATCAGTTGGTAATGATTACCAGTTCTTTCTCACTCCAGCCTCCACAAGGAAAGGAAAAATATACTTAGACTAAGCTTCTTCAGATGCATTAATAAGACACTGGCATTTCCCCAGCGGCACTCCATGCTCCAGCATGCCAGCATAACCCACCTGAAGTGTTGGCACCCCCCATGGAGCTTACTCCCCTTCCTCCCCCCCCCACACACACCCAGGACAAAGTCTTCTGTCTGTACCTGCACCAGCAGCTGCAGCCCAACTAGGTAGACACAGAGAGGGTCTGATGCTTGCTGCAGCCCAGACGGGAGTGAGTCAGGACACTCCAAAGAAACTCTGCACCCCCACCTCACTGCACAGACTTAGGGCAGGGGGTTGCGGGGTGAGGATGGGAATGGAGTGCCAGGTGGAAGCTCTGGCTGGGAGGTGCTTATCTAGATGGCTCCTAACCAGTAGCCCAGCAAGACAGACAGGCTCCCTGCCTGCCAGCAGTCCCACATCACTCAAAGCAGCTGGCTGTTCCATGTGGCTCTCTGCACCACACTGGATAAGAGGAGGTTTCACATGCTGCCCCGTCCCCAGCACAATTACTCACCTCCCATTGGCCAGTTGCTGGCCAATACAAGCTTAAAGATTGTGCTCAGGCCAAAGCAGTATGCAACACCTCCCTCCATGCAGCACAGAGAGCCACATGGAGCACCAGACACTTTGAGAGGCATGGAGCTGCTTTGTGCCCGCAAGTCCCAGCAGAGTGGGCTGTGGGCCAAATTAAAAGGCTTGGGGGCCCACGGACCATATCTTTCTGCTCCTGCTCCAAAAGTTATTTGGGGAGCAGTTCTATGGCTTGTGTTCCACAGGTCAGACCAGGTGATCAGAGTGGTCCTTTCTGGCCTTAGAATCTGAATTAGTGGATTAGAAAAGAATTGGAGCCTGTCATGACATCAGAGTTTGTTTTTAGACTGTATACATTCCCTTTTACTACCATGCTTCCTGAGAGCTAGTCTTGACCAAGTATTATTATGGACACAGGTCCTTCAGTCTCCCTTCTGTCTTAGTTGTGACAACAGTGCTAGGGGAATAGAACAGTAAAAAAAGACCGAGGAGGAATCAGAAAAAGAAAAAAGTTCTAATTTTAGCCCAAGGGTTTTTCAGCTTGCTGAGCCGCAAATGTAATATGGTACAACCTGGAGAACAATCCTAATTGGTATTCCATTAAAAAGGGAGAAAAAAATCTTGCTGAGATCTGAAGTCAAATGACAACAGTCAAAAGTGAAACACAGCTCACTAATGTAGCCTTAATTCATTTTATTTTCAGAGACAGCAAGCTCACCATGTTGCTCCGGGAGTCCCTGGGGAATATGAACTGCCGTACCACTATGATAGCTCACATTTCGGCAGTGGCAGGAAATTACACTGAAACACTGTCCACCATCCAGATTGCATCCCGGGTCCTGAGGATGAAGAAAAAGAAAACTAAGGTAAGAAAATATGTAACTCCTTCTCTTCTTGTAGTGGAAAACAAGGAACCTACAGAGCCCTTAGAAAGTTGAAAAGGCCTGAAGAGCAGCATATAACAAAATCAGTATTCATAATTTTGAGTCTCTGGGTTTGCATGTCTTTTATGTTAGATCCCCCTTCTGTTCTGTAATGTGATTTGTCCTTGTCATGTGTGTTCATTTTTTTAAATTGTATCCTTTGGTATATATGGTTGTGACTGTTTTCTTCCATTATTTGATCTGAGGAAGTGGGTCTGACCCACGAAAGCTCATCATCTAATAAACCATCTTGTTAGTCTTTAAAGTGCTACATTGTCCTGCATTTTGCTTCAGCTACCCCAGACTAACACGGCTACATCTCTACCACTATTTTATGTTAGCTGTGTGGTTTAGAGTTTATAACAGAGAGTAAAGGAGTGAAACCTTCAACCTAAAATGCAGAGGGGAGTTTCAAGCACATCTATTATACAAGCTTTCTAAGCCTAACTCCAAGTCTGTCAACTATAGAAGTGGAAATATAGCTGGTAATGTGCTTTTTTCTCAATTAAAATTGCAAGGGTAATTTAAACAATAATTCTATTTTTTTTACAGTTAGAAGAAATGAGATTTAATGAAGAAAAAAGTTCCCTGTTTTTCCCATAAGACAGCAAGAATAGTATAACACAAGGCAAAATCTTTATCTCTGCACAGACACACAAATTTGGTAGATTTTCCAAGTAGTGGACTAATAGGGAGTGAGGTATATCCATTTTCAAGCTTCCAGTGCACTAGTTCTTTTTATAGCCTTGATTGTTAACTTGTTACAGCAGATGAGTTTTGTGACAATAATCTAAAATGACAATGTGGGATAATGCTAAATACGATCTAAGACCAATGAATGGACTTCATCTACCATGTCACAACGAGTGAGCCACAGAAAGAGATGCACACCACACAACGTATACCCAAGTCTGTACTGTGATCCCAGTTGGATTTTCCTTATCTTTCATTCAGGCCATGCATTGGAAAGCAGTATTGTCTAGTGGTTAGAGTTGGGTCTCGCTCCATTTGTTCTCTATCATACCGTGGACAAAATAGAGCTAATAATACCTATCCAACTTTCAGTACTTTGAGATAATTAAATGCAAATTTCAGTATAACTATTAAGTTCTTCTTCTTGTTAGATTTTCGCTCCCTTGCTCACCAAGGTTCATAGCAGTGCTTTATTGAGTACATTGGTGTGTATGTCATGCATTTATGCAATACCATGTCTTGTTTGGTCATTTTAGGATTCAACTGCATGTGCAGCTGGGATTCTGCTGTGTGTGTGCTTTATGGAAGCTATGTGTGGTTCTGACATTCCTTTTGCTCTCCTATCACAGTACACATCAAGCTCTTCTGGAGGTGAAAGCTCCTGTGAAGAAGGGAGAATGAGGAGGCCAACCCAGTTGAGACCCTTCCATTCTAGAAATGTAGTTGACCCAGACTTCCCTATTCTGCACTTATCAAGTGATCCTGATTATTCTTCCAGCAGCGAACAGTCCTGTGACACCGTGATTTATGTTGGCCCCAATGGCACAGCCCTCTCTGACAAGGAACTGACAGATAATGAAGGCCCCCCTGATTTTGTCCCTATAGTTCCTGCTCTGCAGAAAACCAAAACTGAGGGCAAACTGGAGGAAGTGAGTGAGACAGACTCCAGTGCGTCCGAGAGAGACTGCCTGAAGTGCAACACCTTTGCTGAGCTTCAGGAGCGGCTGGACTGTATTGATGGCAGTGAGGAGAGCAACAAATTTCCATTTGAAGAGCTGCCTGTTCAGGTTAGCACAGACCAGACGTCCAAGTGCCCTGTGCCAAGCCAAGGGGCAGGTCTCAGCCATTTATCGGCATCGGAGAAGGACGATGCCTCAGCTGACTGTCAGCAACCTGAGAAGGAAAATATAAATGCAACAAGCAACAAAATTCAGAGAAATCACTCCCCTGTTCCATCTGGAGCTCTACCTAACATTTCAACTCCCCCTTCTCCTAGGAGTGTCACTGGCAGTTGTAGTAGCCAGCTTGGCTCTTCCCAGTTAGCCCACAGCACAAGCCTGCAGAGCAGCAGAGAGAGCCTCAACACCTGTGGTTTTGTAGAAGGCAAACCCAGGACAATGGGTTCACCACGGCTTGGCATTGCAAGTCTCTCCAAGACATCGGAGTACAAGCCGCCAACTTCTCCCTCCCAGAGATGCAAGGTTTACACCCAAAAAGGGGTATTACCCAGCCCTGCACCATCACCCCTGAGCAAGGACTCTGGTATGGTGTCTAGCGAATCTTTGACGCAGCCAGAGATCCGGACCCCACCAGTGGGAATGAGTCCACAGGTCTTGAAAAAGTCATTATCCTCAAGCAGTGGGGATTTTGGAGAGATCATTCTCGACAAAGAGCAGGAACAAAATATTTTACCAGAGTCAAAGAAAGAGATTCTGAGTACCACCATGGTCACGGTGCAGCAGCCGTTAGAGCTGAATGGAGAGGATGAGCTGGTATTCACCTTGGTTGAAGAACTAACCATTAGTGGGGTCCTTGAGAATGGGCGCCCGACCAGCATCATTAGCTTTAACAGTGACTGTTCAGTTCAGGCTTTGGCCTCTGGGTCTAGGCCAGTTAGCATTATCAGCAGCATTAGTGAAGACCTTGAGTGTTACTCCAATGCAGCTCCTGTTTCCGAGGTCAGCATAACACAGTTTGTGCCTCTTCCAAAATTAGGACTGGATGACAAAGCCCACGATGTCGGCAGCAAACGCTCATCAATTAGCTCGTGGCTGAGCGAAATGAGCACGGGGAGTGACGGGGAGCAATCATGCCATAGTTTCATAGCCCAGGCATGCTATGGGCACGGTGAGGCGATGGCAGAGCCCCCTATGTCTGAGTTTGCCAGCGCCATACAGAATACTAGCATGATCTGTGTAAACGACAAGCAAAATCCAATGACTGACAACTTGCTCATACTGTCAGAAATGGGGGAGGAAACTTTCAGTAAAGTCCCACCCCTCAAGGGTTGCAAAATATCAGCTCTGGGGAAAACAACTGTCACAATCTCAAACACAGCAAGCCTAAGCAGTTGTGAAGGCTACCTCCCAATGAAAACCAACATTACTGTTTATCCATGTATTGCTGTTAGTCCCTTTAAGGCTCAAGAGACTGATGAGGCCACGCCTGCAGTAATTTCAGCTGCTAAAGTTGCTCAACCCCAAGAGGAGAAAGAGTCTAGTGTTAGGAAGGAAATCAAATTTGAAGACCCTTGGCTAAAGAGGGAAGATGAGGGGAAAAAAGACACCAGCGATGGGCCAAGGCTGCAAACGGCAGTTGGCACAGCCAAGTTGGAGCAGAACAAGAACCAGAACGTAGCAGATAGGCTTAGTAGCAGCAGTGGGGAGACCTCTAGCTCTCCAGGATCAGATCCTCTAAAGAGGATCGTGGATGGGTGTGAGATGGCACTTCCACGTTCTGCAACCCAGAGCCCTGTTCATTCTGCAGAGGCTTTGAAGCATGGCAGCCTCCCTAGAGCATTCCAGAAGGTCAGCAAGCAGGAGGAAATTGATGGTGCCCCCTGTTACTGTTCTGCTGAGAGCAATGGAATGAGTTCTCCTACTCTTGTAAGACTTTCTTGGAAAGAAGAATTGCTTCTCCCAAGCACTGTGTTCTCACTCGCCCCAAAGGAACTCCTCCACTCCCTCCTGTGCGAAAATCAAGCCTGGATCAGAAGAACAGGGCCAGCCCCCAGCACAGCAGCAGCACTGGCAGTCCATCCAACCAACCAATGGCTTTTCCGGCCAGCTTTCCTGATGAGCTGAATGGGAAGCAGAAAGGCTGTAGCATTGATACCAGTAGCAATAGCAGCAGCAAGTTATTTAGTGCCAAACTTGAACAGCTAGCCAGTAGGACCAATTCCCTGGGCAGGTCCACTGTGAGCCACTATGAGTGTTTGTCGTTGGAAAGGGCAGAAAGCCTATCTTCTGTAAGTTCCAAAATGATCCCTGGAAAAGATACTACCATGCCCAGGGCTGGGAGGAGTCTCAGTCGCAGTGCAGTGTCTTCACCAACAAACTCAGGCATATCCCAGTCTGCCGGTGCCTCACCGAAGGCCAGCCAATCTAAGATATCCGCTGTAAGCAAACTCCTTTTGGCAAGTCCCAAGGCCCGAAGCTTGTCTGCTTCCACCACCAAAACATTAAGCTTTTCTACCAAGTCTCTGCCGCAATCTGTGGGACAGAGCTCAAGTTTGCCTCCCAATGGGAAGAACATGTCCTGGTCAACTCAGTCCCTCAGCAGAAACAGAGGCTCTAGTCTTGCTTCAAAACTGCCCCTCAGGGCTGTCAATGGACGGATTTCAGAACTACTCCAAGGGAGCACAAGTGTTCGAGGTTTACAGTTGCGTGGAAACTCAGACACAGATGAGCGAGGTGGCCTTCATGGAGATGAGAAGCCAAATGTTCATATGCTGCCTTCCCCTTACAGCAAAATAACCCCTCCACGGAAGCCTCATCGCTGTAGCAGTGGTCATGGCAGTGACAACAGCAGTGTCCTAAGTGGGGAGCTGCCACCAGCCATGGGGAAAACAGCCCTGTTCTACCACAGTGGGGGAAGCAGTGGTTATGAGAGTATGATGAGAGACAGCGAAGCCACAGGGAGCGCTTCTTCAGCGCAAGACTCTATGAGTGAGAACAGCAGCTCTGTCAGCGGGAGGTGCCGAAGTCTCAAAAATCAGAAGAAACGCTCAAACACAGGTATGTTTGCAGATGTGTCCGCAGGGAACGTTGACCATCAGTCTAGCTACTTCTTGGGAGGCAAAGCTTGTGTGGTGGGGTGTCTAGGTCAAAGACAGAGCACATGTTGTTTAACGTGGATGTTTGGCACTAGAAACAGAGTAATTCAAATGACAGGCCCTTGAGTTGGGAATTTCTTAGGTTTATTTACTTACCAAGCCCTGCGAAGGTTCATACTGCCTTTATGTAGACATTGCCCTTGTAACACTTTTAGTATAAATTATTTGTTTCGAGCGTCTGTTATTGCATCCTTTTCTTTAAAGCAGGGCAACTTTTGTAAAGGGGACCATTTTCAAATATGTAGTGATAAGCAATAAAAGTCACAAAAAGATGCCCATGCTAGGTTCTTATATGTAATATATACCACAGGATAGCCTCGGCAGAACTGAAGCAATCACGCAGAAAAGAACTCTGGCAGAAAAAAGGTCTTTTCCAACACTTTATCAGTTCAGGAAAACAAACCCTCTCCATTCTTTCTATAAACCCTATCCAATAGCTAAACTCCAGTCATAAATTGAGGGGCTTGCTCTATGGTGACTAGCAAGGTGAGGAAGATTGGCGTATGTTGCGAGGGCAAGAACTGAAGCTGTTTGTGACTGCTACCCCAGTGTCACTAAGAGGAGGGCCAAGAGCTGTGTAGATTGTGGGACAAATGCTACAGCCTAGCAAAGGGGAGAAAGAGACCGTAAGACTCACACAGTGGAAAAGGTACAATAAAAAATATATTGCTGGGAGGTTGTCTGAGTGATATGGGCCTTTTCCTAAGGACATTTTCAATTTTGGCTTCCATTCTTGAGATTTGGCTTTCTACTTGCCTTAGCAGTGAGAGGGCTGAAGGTTTCCAGCAACCTCTCACATTTAGAGGTTAGGAGAAAGAAGAGTGACTCTGTGAAGGGTAGGTCTTCCTCATTGTTTTTCGTTTCATTTCCCCTTTTGTTAGTATGGCTGGGTGAAGAGGGGTTGACAACTTCCCAAGAACTGCCCTGAGAGATGTGTGTGAAGGGAGGGTCTTCTGTTTGGATTGTAACTGTGGAAGTGTTTTGGGACACTACTACCCTGTTTTATGTGGTAGCTGTTTTGTTTCTTGATAGTCAGGGTGGAGGGTGAAAGCTATGCTGCCCTGGGAGCTCACCTTCACAGTTATTCCTTATTTGGCTCCTCAACTGCAGCACCTCTGCCTCTTTGATGTTTGCTACAAGGTGGCTGGCTGTAAATGTGGAGAACTGAGGGAAGGATCATCTGTGGGGCTTGGGTTGTTTAGTTGCTCTGTATCAGGTATGGGAGACAAAGAGGGGAAGGCCTTTTTTGCTGGCAAAGGCAGATGCACAGCCCTTGTTATCAATTCTATAGATTTTATCTGGGACTTCTTTCAGGGAGCACAAAGCTTTACCTGCCAGGTTCCAACTGTTTATGTCATAGGCAAAGTTAGTGGCTAATAAAATGGGCAGCATGGCTTGTAGGGAACTTTCCAGAGCAAGGCCATCAACTGCCACTGAATCTAACTTTTGTGGTCTTCCTACATCTGCTGCTGCTCAGAGCTATCCAGCCCTGAAGCAGAATGAAAACTGACTTGATTCTTACCACTTTTACACCAGATATGGAGTTTGTCAGGGCTTTTGATTGCCAACCAAATTACTGATCTAGATCTTTAATTTCCGTGTGGATTAAGTCCTTTGCACCATTATGAGAGGTTTGCTTAGATGAGTCACTGTCTCTCGTGGTTCCTCTCTGGAACATAGTTTCCTGTAGGGATGTTTGAGTGTAACCGACTATCCGCTTAACTGATGCTTATCAGTTAACAGTGTCAGTTACAGTCAGTGAAGCCTCCTGCTCAGGAGCCAGGCTAGCAGGGACTGGCAGCCCTACTCCTGGGAAAAGGCTTCACTGTGAGTTCTGCAGTACAAAGCTAAGCTTTATGCTGCAGCGCTCACTGAGATTTTCAGTGGTTACACGGTTACCTCATTACACGATTTTAACATCCCTCTTTTCCAGTGGAGGACCCTCATCTCTGGGAGCTGCCAATGCTATTAATACAGCAGAGCCTGGACATATTGACACATCCAGAGCTCTTTGTAAAGCTTTTGTTTACTCTGGCTTTTGACTGGTTGCCATGTGGAGAGAGTACTTGTTCAATTTTTACAGATTAATTTTGAAGTCGACTCTCTATTTAGTTGAGTTCACCAATTCTCATATTGTTTTGAGTGAGTTGAACATAGGTCCAGTCATTTTTACACATTTTAATATTAAAAAATGAATTTGATGTCTACACATTTCTCATCCTCGAACATTTACTTGGCAACTAACAAATCTCCAGCTTTCTTACAACCCATATCTTCTTTGTATTTGGCCCTGCAGCAGTAAAGCCATAATTCTGTGTTTGGTGGTAGCACAATCTTTCACATGTCAACAGATTTATGATGTCATAAAAATAGGATTATGACTTCAGTGCAGCATGAAGATGAAGGAAAAATTGGGATGTAAAGGTGAACAATGTTATGATGAACATACGTATATTTTTATAATAGGAGAGGAACCAGACTGGTTTGGCATATTTCTTTTTACATAAATATCCTCTTCCTGTGGGTTTGTATTAGTTGGAAACATCTCTGTTAAGGAATATTTTTAAGAAAAAAATGATACAAAGCCATGCACTTCTTGAAGCACGGATATTATTTTAATGCATGGTGTCATGAGCATTGGACCCTTTTAGATTTGCTGTCAAAGATCCACTGTGCTATAATGGATGTGGCAGTATAGATATGCTCATTTCAGGTCAGGTGACCTTGTCCACTTTATTTATGATTATTATTAACAGAAAGGCTAGTTGTCAGACATAATCAACATGAATCTACAGAAAGCCCCTTTAAGAGAAGCCATAAAAGAGACTTTAAAGGAATCACCAGTAGTCTTGTTAGATTTCACAAATGCTTTTGAAGCTCTGACACACTGAAGAGAGAATTTTTTTCTCTAAGATCTTGTTTTTTTAAAATGTTCTTAAGTGCATTACTTGTTATAGCCTAGGTATCCGAGATACAGTGGCAGCTTTTGAAAGATAAAGCGAATTCATAATCTTTTGTTTTAGCCTTAGTTTAAATTTCAGGATCTAAGGAAGCACGTTTCGTAGGTAGTCTACCGCTGTATATGCACTGTAAATACTGTAATATTAGTTGGTCTGTATATTCTTGCTCTGAAATGATTGCTTACGGTAGAGGGGATTTTAACAATACTCACATTTAGTACAGATCTGGGGCTGTACATTTTCGAAAAACTGGACAACTGTTATTTAACCCTCTTGTGATGTAAGCCACAAATAGGGAAAATAAGGCTGAGAGGATAACTGAATCTTCTCTCCCAGACCCAGGATTAGCTCTCAGGCATTCTTGGCTCCTAGCCTTGAGCTCAACTGACCACACTTCCTCTTATCAAGGCCATTGCCATTTTAGAACAGTAGAGTGGAAGGTTTGATTTGTAATTGTCTGCTTGTGACACACTGTCGCACCTGCCCTGCCTACTACTATCTGGGTAGTTGTTTATTCTCTGGTTTCTTCCTTCCCCCAGTAATGCCCCACCCCTAGGCTAAGAGTGAATGGGCACCTCAGTCACTTACCTCCAACTGGGAGGGCGTGATTATGCAGCGGTGAAGGCTGGTGACCCCTAAAATAGGGAGGCAAAACTGACACACACAGGGCTGGTGACAGACTTTGCCAAGCCCTGGGCAATGTGTGTGTGGTGGTGGGGCGGGGGGAGGAGGGTGCTTGGCTCTGGTCCCCTCAGGTGGAAGGAGTGGGGCAAACAGAAGCCAGGCCTTAGAGCCACCCAGACCAGCATGGCAATTTAAATGGCTTGGGGCTCCAGCCACTGCTGCTGCTGCAGTAGCAACCTGGAGCTTCTGACCCTTTTAGCTGCCCCCATTACTCCTCTCAGTTGGTGGTCCTGGATGGACGCGCACACACACAGACACACGCACACACCCACACCCTCCTAGTGAGCAGAGTGATGTCCAGGTCAATAACTAAGCTCCTAGACACTCGGCTAATACAAATAAATAAAGCATTAGTCAGCCGTTTGATCCCCACACACAGAATAGGCCACCACATGGCTACTTCCAGTCTCTTCCAGCCCAAAGAATATAAGAATGGCCATACTGGGTCAGACCAAAGGTCCATCCAGCCCAGTATCCTGTCTGCTGATAGTGGCAGGATGTTCCAGAGGGAGGGAACAACGGGTCATCCTCATGTGATCCCTCCCGTCACCCGTTTCAAGACAAACAGAGGCTAGGGACACCATTCCTACCCATCCTGACTAATAGCCAGAGGATGTGGTGAAGACTCAGACTTTAACAAGGTTCAAAGAAGAGCTAGATAGCCATTGATGGACCTAACCTCCATGAATCTAAGTGCCAAGCCTCCTGTGTGTCCATGATGCAGTGCTCCTTTGTTTTAGCAGCATACCCATCTGTTAGAAACAAATGCAAATAATAAGCTTTGATAATTTTTTTAAAAATGGGAGTGGGATTTGAAAAGCACACAGCATTGGTCTAACTTTGCTCCCTTGAAGTCACTGGTACAAGCTGAGTGCTTTTGTGGCTCCTTTCTGTTACCAGGAGAAACACCCCAAGCAAACTCCCTTTTGCAAAGTCACAACAGTGTTTCTGAAATGTCAACTTTATGGGGCAGGCACAGTGGGGCAGCAAACTGGGCCCCAGACAGGGAGTTGTAAAACCTATATTCTGTTTACCGTTCTGCCAAAGACTCACTGTGTCACCTTGAGCAACAAAATGTCTCTGCTATCATAAAACAGGATGGTTCTTGTCCAACCTTGTACAAAGCATGGGGATTCTAGAATGCAAAAATGTTACATACATGTTAAGTGCTATTATTTTACATATTTTAGCATCTGAAATCCTGTGGACCAAATTCAATTTGTGTGTAAGGAGGCACAGCTCCCACTGAAGTCACTTTCAGAGCTGAATTTGGCCTGCTGGGTGTAGGGATTCAGCTTTTTGGGCATATGAAAAAACACTACTTCTAACTCCAGGTGCATAGCTCCTGGCAGCAATGAGGTAAAGATGGAACAGGATCCAGGCCTGTAATTAGATTTATACTGTATAGCAAGGCTTCCCTTGAACTCCCATACAATGTACATGAATGCCTTGGGTTTTTTCCTGCATGTATTATTTATTGGTTTCAGGTCCTATGATATTTCCAGACTGGCAGTGTCTGTAATGAGCCCTATCATGGGGCGGATAACACAGAAGAGCATTTGGTACAATTTCCAACAGGACAAAGGTTTTCTATGGAATATACTAAGCTCTTCCTCAGGATTCTCCTTCCCCCTTTCTGGAATTGGTTTGGCTGCATAAAAGAGTTTCATGTCCATGTTTTATATGGCTAGATCAAAGGCCTTTGGCATGTCTGTGACTAATTACTGCTTGCAATGCTAGTTCAGAGCTGGATGGTTTCCTCTCCTGAGGAGTATGTGTTTGTTTAGATTTCCGGTTCTCTCTAGTCCCATTTTTTTCAAGGGGCCATAGTTACTTAATAGAAGAAAATTTAAAAGCAAACGGAATGTGAGCTTGGCAATTTGCAAAAACATGTGTATCAGGGCTTGTTTCAGCAGGGGAACATACTTGTATCATTAGGATCTGAGCTTCATGGTCAAAGGGGCTTAGGGCAGTGAGTCAGATGTAAGCAGTTACTGCTGCTAGCTGGCTGCACGCTGGCCTGGGATGGGCTGTCTCATCTGGGGGAAAGATCAGAGTGAGAGGAAAACAAGAGTCCATCTGGGGAGGAGGGAGATTCTCTACAGGTGGTTTGGCTGGGAAGAAGCTGCTGTACATGGAGCCTTCAAGTTCCGTCAGGCTGGGTCTCTTTAGTCAGTGGTCATTAAAACAAGAAGCTAAAGAATCTCTACAGGCAGTCCCCGAGTTACGCGGATCCGACTTATGTCGGATCAGCAGTTACGAACGGGGCCCGTCTCCCTGGTCTCCAGCAGACCAGGGAGAGGAAGCAAAGAGGTGGAGCACGCAGGCAGCGGACAGCCCAGACGCGTCTGGGCTGTCCGCTGCCTGCGTGCTCCGCGGCTTTGCTCTGTTTTGCTCCCCGTCTCCCTGGTCTGCAGACCAGGGAGACGGGGAGCAAAGCAGAGCAAAGCCACGGAGCCCGAGGGCAGCAGGACAGCCACGGCACGTCTAGGCTGTCCCGCTGCCCCCGTGCTCCGCGGCTTTGCTCCGGATGCCTGGGGTTCTTAAGTTGAATCTGTATGTAAGTCGGAACTGGCTGATCAGTTTCAGCAGCGGCTGAATCAGGACGCCTGGGGCAGAGCAGCTGGGGTGCTGCCGGGTTGGTCCAGTAGCGCCCAGAGCGGCGCTACGGGACCAACCGGCAGTGCCCCAGCTGCTGTACCACAGGCATCCGGAGCAAAGCCGCGGAGCACGGGGGCAGCGGGACAGCCTAGACGTGCCGTGGCTGTCCTGCTGCCCTCGGGCTCCGTGGCTTTGCTCTGCTTTGCTCCCTGTCTCCCTGGTCTGCAGACCAGGGAGACGGGGAGCAAAGCAGAGCAAAGCCACGGAGCCCGAGGGCAGCAGGACAGCCACGGCACGTCTAGGCTGTCCCGCTGCCCCCGTGCTCCGCGGCTTTGCTCCGGATGCCTGGGGTTCTTAAGTTGAATCTGTATGTAAGTCGGAACTGGCTGATCAGTTTCAGCAGCGGCTGAATCAGGACGCCTGGGGCAGAGCAGCTGGGGTGCTGCTGGGGTGGTCCAGTAGCGCCGCCGCTCCTCGGCGCTACTGGACCAACCCAGCAGCACCCCAGCTGCTCTGCCCCAGGCGTCCTGATTCAGCCGCTGCTGAAACTGATCAGCCAGTTCCGACTTACATACAGATTCAACTTAAGAACAAACCTACAGTCCCTATCTTGTACATAACCCGGGGACTGCCTGTATTACAAACACAAGCCAGTCTTCTGAATGAGGCTCAAATAGAGTGAAGGTGGACCCAAGCTGCTGCAAAATCCAGACTTTTCCTAATGTTTAAAGCTGTTTGGATCCTTTATAACACTAGGCCCCAGTTTGGATTCACATCTAAACTGTCCCAGTATCAGAAGTGGTTTGGATGCAGGAATCTGCTTTAGGCCTCTGACTCCTACCAGAGCTTGTCTGACAAATCCAGGTTATGGACTTTTTAAGATTTTGTTTTATATCAGAAACCTTTCTGGAGGGTAGCTAATTAAAGCTTCTTGCTGAAACATTTTATGGGTTGTGCAGTAAAAATGTCATGACTCCTGGCAGCTCTTCCCGTGTGCTAAGTTTCACCGCCAAGAGTAAACTACTACCTGATTCTAAACATTGTCATAAAAAAGACAAACTGTTAAGACATGACAATAATTATATATAATTGTAATCTCTTTACATCACGTCCTACCATAACAACTTTAGGTTTCTCTGGGGTCAGAGATGTTTTTAAGAATGTAGGTTCAGAGGTTCCATAAACTCCAGACCTGCACACCCCTAAACTCTTAATAACTTTCCCATCTATTTCTGTTAATGAAAATAGTAAAAAAATACCGGGCATGAATGAATCCGTAGGCAGCAAATAGCTTGAATCCAGCTCAAACTTGCTCCTGATATCAGACAGCAGTGAAACAGGATCTTAGCAATGATGATGAAACACAGAGGCTGAGCTTTTCTTGTTGCATCTAAGTGAAAAGAAATTCTGTTCACATTTAGCCTGCATAAACCACAGTGTTCAGAACGGCAAAATATTCCTGGCCCCATAAAGCCAAAAGGCCTGTCTAACTTGGAATCAAAAGGCCTGCAGCGTAACTTGTCCACATGCACAACCAATGACAATAAGGACTCTGATGATAATTCACACGCTGCGTTATCCCCTATCATGACTGGAACCTTAAGAATTATAAAGGGGGACAAATCTTTGTGTGTTGGTGACCCCCTCTGAACATGTGACTCTTGACTGGATGGTGGAGAGGGGTGAGCAGAGCCCCAGCCACAATTTTTTGTTGTTGTTATTCATTAAAACAACAGCATTGATTTTCCCAGGTCAAAGCCAGGCCATTCCATGCTGCGGATCTGTGTTGAAAGGTTTCGCAGTAATCATTTTTTACACGCTTGACTACCACGTGCCAGTGCTGAGCTTTCGGCTGCACGGACATAGGAATGATTTAATAGAGGAAATGGCAGCAAGCTATTGTGACTGGGGAAGGCTCCATGTAGCACGCATGATTGAGTCAGAAACCATTAGGCGGGTGTAAATAAAACCTGTTCGCTGTGTTGGCACAGAGTGAGCTCAGTGGAATGCCTCTGCCACTGTCCTGTCTGGAGCTGACGCTGTTATAGCAGTGTCCCCTGCCCTTGGCTAGCCTGGCAAATGACTGGTGACACTATTTACTGAAGATGCTAGGACAATAAACAGCTCGGTGCCATCTCCATAGACAGCGTGTCATGAAACTGACACATACATATGGTGCCAAAGGCCCAGCCAAAAGATAAAGAGTAAAAATACATCTTCTCTGGGACTTCTCCCACCATACGGGTCAACTCAAGCCAGGCTAAATGAAGTGCTGCACCCTGGTTTTGTTGCAGTTATGTTAGTTCACAGGCTCTGCACACTTTGCCCACACTTGCTTCTGAAAGGAAACAGTGGTTTGGGAGGGCAGGAAAGAATGAGGAATAGTGGGAAATTGACAGAAGCATGAAATTGCCTGGTGCCCAGAATATTCACAGGTCTCTGAATCTATGCCAATTTCTCAAACACGCAGTCTTGCTCTGCAGGGGCACAAGGATGTGAGGGTAACTGCATTCCCACACAGCAGGAAATTCTAGGCTCATTCATACGTTGTTCATTCTCTGGTTTTACGAATGTAAGTCAGGGTAGAAAATGGCACTCAGTATTTTGCATGGTTAGGTATTAGGGAAAAGTGAAGGAATATATTTAAGGTCATCTTTTGACATCTGTTTTTGTTTTGGAATTAAATATTAATTTGTTACTTTTTGTTCTGAATTATTCCAGCTCAGTTTATTCCTTTTATTTCACCCAGGGCACCAGGTGAGCACAAGATGGGCTGGGAAGCTATGTGATGACTTGGCCATAACTGTGGCCTCTTTCGTGCTTTTTGAAATTTGACCCCTAACTATCTGGAGTGAATTCTCCAACCTGTTACACATGTGCCACCCTTGAAATTGCATGAGTGACACTGGGGGGGAGGGTTGAGGGGTAAGAGCTGTGTAAATTGCAGGAGAAATCCTACAGCCCAGCAGAGGGGAGAAAAAAACCATAGGACTCCCACAGAGGAAAGGATGCAATAAAATAAACAATGAGGAAGGTCAAAGAGAAAAGGAGGCAATCCAGTCATGGGCAACTGGCTGCAAGGGACATCCAGCAGGAAGTAGGAGTGAGAGGAGAAATCAGTCTTGCTTTCTCAAATAATAAAAGCAGAAGCCTGGCTGCTAGAAAGTGGAGAATGACAGGGGGAACTCTGCATGTCTTCACAAATAAAAAGCCTGAAGCAAAGCCAGTGCTCTTTCAAATGCAAGGAAAGTGTTCTCTGAAAACAAATGCAGTAGAACAAATGGTGTGTGTTGGGGTTTACTGGCCTATTTAGTGGTGGGATGTAGAATCTCAGATCGGTTATATGGTTTGTTGGCCAGGGGAATGCTGGACCGTAAGATCTGTACACAAAGGCAGTTGTACTTTTAACAACAGTTGTGTAGTAATGAATGCATCTTTCCTTCTTCCACATTTGAGCCATGTGGAGTCATGGTGCATGGAGTTAGGATTTTGTTTTCTATTTATTGCACTTTGAAATTTTAGGGGGCTGCTACTATTTTGTGCGGAGTTCAGATGAAAGCTACTACAGAGGGCACACACTCTGTGCTCCTCATGGAGACTTTACTTTTTTTGAGGGAGAGGGATTTACCTTTATCTAAAAGAATGTTTAAAAATTCACATTGCAGTTTGCCCATAAAAAGCAATCTAACAGGAGATACGCTGAAACATCCAACATCTAAGCAAATCCCATTACCTTTTAGGATTTCAAGTACCCATTCAGCAAACAGTTGACTTGTTCCACTGACGTCTGTTCAACTCTTCATATGCTTCACATTGAATGGGGGTCCTTTGTGTGTTAAACTTAAAGATGACACCTTCTCAACACTGGTCTTCACTGCAGAGTTGATTTGATTTATAACTTGTGCTTAACTCCAGTCCCAGCCACACACAAAAAGCCTTAACTCCACAGTAGTGGGGCTTTTAAATTGCCTGGTCCTTCAGGGGAAATAAATAACTCATCAGCTGTTAATCCAATTGCTCCATGAAGCCCAAATTGTTATTTCTCAGTGTGGCTGCTCTCACTCAAACTAGACTAACTCAAAAGGAGTTAATGTGTGTGTTAACTCTACAATGAAGACATAGCCTTAGGCCTTGTCATCACACTTAAAACAGTATATGGTGCAGTAACTAACACACAGGAAGAACAACAAGCAGTCTGTTGGCACCTTAGAGACTAACAAATAAATTGTATCATGAGCTTTCGGAGGCCAATCCTCTGCTGTTTTACAGTTCATTTCTTAAAATCTGAAGGTGCCAGGTGCTTGACAAAGTAGGTGCCATGGTACATTTCTAAATGCATAAAGGCCTTAGTGTTTTGTGAAAGCTCACAATGTATTTGTTAGTCTCTAAGGTGCCAACGGACTGCTCCGTTTTTAAAGGTACAGAGTAATACAGTTACCCCTCTGAGACTTCTTAACACACACGACCTATCCTGAAGTAAACCACCCTTCAGGTCACTTGATTTAGTTTATCTTGTGGTAAAAATGAAGTGCCTAGCCCTCACTGTGGTTTTTACCATGGGATAGTTCGCACGCATTCGTGACCCTGAGGTTAAAAAGATACCTATTTTAGGTCCTAAGGTGTGTCTTCATGTACAGTGCTGCAGCAGTGCATCTGCAGCAGTGCAGTGCTTTAGTGAAGACACTCCTTTGGCAATGAGAGAGCTTCTTCCATTGGTGTCATTACTCCACCTTCTCAAGAAGTGGTTGCTATGTCGGTAGGAAAAGTCCTCTCATCAACATAGTATTGTCTATGTGGGAGTTAGATCAGTACAGCTAGGTTGTTCGGGGGTGTGGATTTTTCACACCCCTGAGCAACTTACACTGATCTAGAACTGTAGTGTAGACCTGGCCTTCGAGTCCGATGCAGGAGAAGATATTCAGGAAACAGTAGACTGTTCTATAACTTAACTCCATGACTGAGCTCACCATTACTGGTTTGGCAGTGGATTCAGCGCACCAGATTTCTTTAGCACTAAGAGGAGGCAGTGAGAGCAATCTATTCTTTAAATAGAAAACAAATGATTCCCTTTTATATTGATAGGTCAGCTGGCCTGAACAGATTGCTGGTGCACTGCGTGTGTTTGTGTGTACCCACTACCTCAGGGGCCTGAGGGAGGAGAATGGACAGATTAGTGCTAATCCTGCCAAGCTTCCAGGTTGAAGTCTTTGTAAGCAACATGCTGAAGAGCAGAGGAGTGGCACATTATAGTCTGCTACAAAGCACTTTATTAATTATATAGTAAAGATTTATGAGCTCCCAGCCCCCTAGAGCCCGTTAATAAACATGCATCTCCGAACGTGTATTTTTAAGAAAAAATAGATTTGAACAGTTCCACCCTTGTCTTTGTGTGTCATCATGGATGAGCAAGCTGTCACCTGCTCTGTGGCATTCATCCTGATCTGCTGCATTAGATGCATCTCCTTACCCAACTCATTTAATGTGAAATCAGATAAACCTCAGAGACTAAGTAGTGTGAACGAGAGGCAGGAGGAATTCCTGTCAAGATACACCATACCTTCTGTGCCCAGGCTAATAAGAAGCCCATTAATCAATGCATATTTAAAATAGATTAGGTTCTGTTCAGCTTGCACTTCAAACATGATGGAGTTGTTTCATTTGATTTTTCCCCAATGCATGCCAAAAAGATATATCATCCCAAACCAGTAAAAGTAAAGAGTATTGACCTTCCCCATCCTATAGCTTGATCTTGCAGTCCAATCTGCACAGGTGCTCCCGTGTCTATGCTGAGCTGCATTTACTTCAGTAGGACTCCATGCTGAGGTAAGGTATACTGCCTGTGTTCAATGTCTTGAGGGAACAACAACCAGACAGATTTTTGGCAGCCCAGTCAGGGACCCTGACTAGGGAAACATACTGAGCTCATATTCACTTACTCTGCTTCTGCCACTGTTGTCCAGTCTGCCTGTCCACCCAGTGAGGGTCATCAGGAGCCAAGGCCTAATGTAAGAATCCACAGAAACCACCTTTTGGACCACATGATTCCTCTTACATACTGACTCAAACAGAGATGTG